ACACACAGGAGGGCCACTTGCCAACCTTGCAAAGCTCAACTCAATGACACAATGTACCAGTCCCAGATAAGCCTTCACTATCTAGCAAGGAAAAGGCTGGCAATATAGACTGTTTATCCTCAGTTACATTTCACAGGCTAACTGGGTTAAGATACTTGTAGGCTTTAATATATATCAATATTTTTAAATGCATTTGTCATTTTTTTTTTAATTGACCTGGTCCTTTCATGGGATTTTAGTTCTTTAAACATTGTAACAATATTTAAAGTAGGTTATGTAACACACACAGTCCTGAGTCCAGTATTCACACATAAACTCGGGCTTAAGCAGCCCTCATTTTATTAAGGGCAGTTCTTATTGGGTTTCATAGCTGATAATTATCAACTCTTTGAAGCTAAGGACCAACCACACCATAAAACATGTCATCTCAGATCATTGCGTTTTTTTTTTTGTCTTTGTGGGTTTTAAGGTCAGGCAAGGTGTCTGTGCTTCATATTCACAGTGCGTAAGAGTTTAAAATTGTCTACAGGGCATACTCTGCTACATGTGCTGCAGACAATGCAGAGAGTTAAATAAACATGACGCAGAAACAGATATATTCTGATAGGCTAATATGGGCTGTTAGCATCAGCTGAAACACATACTTGTGTCCTTATTCACGTGCATCTACAGCATTTTGTGCTACCACCCTTAGGGCTATCCATACAGTAAGTGTGCTCCAGAAGAATAAACTTGAGGTTTGCTCTATGTGTCAGCTATTTACCGTGTCTCCTGTTTTTGTGACCAGGAGGTCACCATTTATGAATGCGTGAGAGCTGATTTTTAGATGTCAGTATAATCCTAACTGAAAGTGCTGGATCGGATATCGGGAGCATCTGTTCTTTTCAGTTCAGTTAAGTTCTAGTGGAGAACTAACGTGGCATAGATGAAGCTAACAGCAACGGGTGAGCTGTTCTGAGGTATTTCACACTGTGGTCAAGTTAGTTTACAAGTTCAAGGCTCGTTTACAAGGCTTTTTTTATTTACTTTCACTCTCGTTATATCTGTTGTTATGGGTTCATCCCCAGAAATGACAATGACACAAAGCCAGTTGTGTGACCTCACAGTTATTCAGTATTTTTTTCTTTAATCAAGAATCATTGACGACTACAAAGTCTGCTATCTAATCTCACACTGTTGGGCTGGGTATGCATATGTCAGCAGTAAGCTCTCTATCAGTTTTTATGGTATCATAGTGCAATTTTTGACAGCTATTAAGCAACACATCCTTTGTTTGTCCTAGTGCACAGATGACCTATAATGGGGAAATTATGGTTTAGCAGTGGTAGCATGTTTGCAGTCAGGTGGCAGCTACATACTGCCCGTCTACCTACAGACGTACCATACCAAGTACTATAAATGAAAAATCAGTGTGTCACCCGACAAGACAGTGACAGCTATTTTTACAGCTATAACTATCAAATCTATAAACGTGAAGATATAGATATTAAAATTGTGCTACTGTACGTTTCTTTCAGCTCAGCGTATAAAGACGAATCACTTTGTCCTGTACAGTAGCTTGGTGTGACTTTTACTCTCTGTGGAAGTGTCACTGTTGAGTTCACAGCAATCTCAGATATGCTCTTTTATCTTGGTTTATGTGCTGTTATGATCAGAGCTACTCCTCTTTCGTCTGGTTGTATCAGTTCAGTTGTGTTTTTAAAGAACTGAACCACACAACAAGAGAAACCCACTAAAACCTAAAGCTTTGTGTTGATCGTTAAAATTGGGATCACCGCTGCACATGTTATGTGGGTTTTTTGGTTAAAAAAAAGACAAAAGAAAGAAGAGCTCATACACAGCATGTGCTGGCCTCCCCTCTGCTCCTTTTTTGCACCCGTTGTAGTGTTTTGCATCGTAAGTCACACCTGAATAGACTCTGAACAGACATCCACAGAGATTAAAATAATAATCCTGCATGTAGGTAGGAGATGGAATGGGAAGGAAACTGATCTTTGAAAGGCTCATAATGTCTGAATCACCTATTTTTTTTTACTGTATTTATAGATGTTTAAAATATAGTTCTGTCTCACGTCTAGAACGCATACAAACACACAAGTGTAAATTGGAGCTTAACAGAAATTATGCTGGTTTCTGTACTGTCTATTTTGTGTTTCACCATGTGCGTGTCTGCTCCCTCCAAAGATGTAGAAGCACTTTTTCCTCTGTAGAAAAAAATGCTTTTTTTAATGCTGCAATGATCCTCTCGAACTAAGACAGTGCGAAACATTGTCTTCAGAAACATTGCCCTCATCGTTTACCCTCATGCAAACGTGACTCATATTGTCTTCAGGAGAAATCCGCATCTATAAATACTTAACCTGAAATTGGCAACTTTGCAGTGGTAAAGCAATTAAAGCAATCTTCTTTGTAGTCTGATTGTCCTTTTGCCTCCCTGTAAAGTTGCCAGTGCCCAGCCAACTGTAGGTTGCCCAAAAACGACTGAAAGAGAAAGAGTGGGGAGTTTATTTGCCACTTCTAGCATGAAGAGATTGAACATAGTCTATATCAGGGAGCAGGAGAGGTTCCCTGCTGTAATTAGTGAACATAAGTGTGACCATTAGTGGATGATGAGGGATCGGTGTAGAAGCTCCACATATGCACATTAATTTCACAGAGGACAAAGTTGTGAGGATGAAATTGTTTGTGTGTGTGTGTGTGTGTGCCTGCGCTCTCTCACACACAGGGATGGTATAAAAGGTGGAAGTCCCGTTATGAAGCCTCAGGGTGAGCTGTGTTTGCCATCTCCATCCTGGTGTGTGGAAGCCAAAAGTGAGGAGCGGCTGGCGGATCAGACTGTGAAACTGCACACTCTTTGGCTACCAACTTGCAGTTGAGAAGATGTTAGATAATGAGTATGTCCAGGATAATCTTCATTTCTGAGTAACTGTAATTTAACAATGAACTTAATGTTTTATTCAGTAGGACCCAGACATAGTGCTTGAGGCCATAAAGTCATCAGGATAGTGTTTACTGAGCTGAGGAATTTGAGGGATATAACTTCTGTATAACTTAAAGTCTTTTTGCAACCACAAGGGTCGCTAGAAGGATTGCAGTTAATCAGTAGAATGTAGGTTTAAAGCAGTTCAGCATCTTTCTTCATATGTGCATGATGTAAGAGGTGGGTGACATACACATCAACATGAAGCTTTACATTGGAAGCTTAGGTTTAATATTTTAATGATAATATTAATGTACTGCATTAAAGGGGGAAATGAGCTACAGTTGGCTTGCTTGGTATCATCCAGCAGCTCAACACTATTGGCTTTTTCCCTACAAAAATGTCATATTCAAAACCATCAGGGAGGTTTTGGCATTTAACTACAGGAAAACCACCAGAACTGTCACTTATAAAATACCTTTAAGCAGTGTATAGTTTATTGTGGGGTTTAAAATACATTTTTGGTGAAATGGCCATAGAATAACAGGAAAATGCCTAAATGTGTGTCAGCTACAGTAACAAAGAGTCTTTGTCTTAACTATTTGTGGACCAAGGAGTGTTTAAACCAGGAAAAACATTGCCCATTGGTAACTGTGAAACTTGAAACGGCAACATGATGGAGGTTGTGCCGTGTTTTTCTACTTTCACATTTCCTTTCACGCTACCACAATTTATCGATGAGGTAATATAGCTTCTAAAACATGCACTAGAAGAAGCTAGAATGATCTTTAAAACATTATCTTAACTGATAACATGCTTAATTTTGGATTCATCAGTACTTGAGTTTTTTGATAGATTAGCTATGGCATGATAGAAAGCTTTGAGGGCAGGGATAGCTCAGTAGGTAGAGTGGTCGCCCCATGATCGGAAGGTCGGGGGTTCCAATCCACTGAACAGCTACCCTGAGGTACCCCTGAGCAAGGTACCGTCCCTACACACTGCTCCCCGGGCGCCTGCTTAGTGGCTGCCCACTGCTGCATTTGAATGGGTCAAATGCAGAGAAAAACAAGTAATTTCCCCACGGGGAGCAATAAAGTATACATTATTATTATTATTATTATTTGAGTGGCTGTAATCAACTTCCTGTAAATTTTACAATTTCCTGAGCTGAAGCACAACATTTCAGTAGACAGGCAGAGATGTGTTGAAATCCCGTTGGCGTGTGACAGCTAATTGCCTTGGTAACTGTTTCTAAACTGCCGAGGTTGTTGAACATTCACATACTGGTTCATTTCTCTGATTGTCTTGTGAGCACGACGTTTATGACTGACCCTATTACATCTAACACCAGAGTATAAAATAGGACAACAA